ACTATACCAACAACTACACCAATAACTACACCAACAACTACATCAATAACTACACCAACAAGTACACCAACAACTACACTAATAACTACACCAACAACTACACCAACAACTAAACCAACAACTACACCAACAGCTGTATCAACGACTAACCCAACAACTAGCATATAACAACGACGGTAGACACTTGCTTTAACTTCGGCAAAGTTATTACTTACTAGCATTTTGATTTTACATTCCTTGTAATTGTAAGTAGAAGGTTGAACATATTAAAACCAGCCGCACCCATTAATATAAGTATCTGACCAATACTAATGTTGGAAATGTTGTCGATATACAAGAAATTCAACAGCGCGGACCGAGTCTAGATCCATGCCAAAGAGTCCTTTATCACGCTAGGACAAATATTAACCGAGATACATCCGATTTACTTGTGTGTACTAAATTAGAGATTCTACATTTGAAGTATAAGAGTCATGTAGCTTTTTGACTTGGCAGCTGCAGAAATACGAGCCCAATTCCTATTTGCCTGTCGCAAAGGATGATTGTATCTCAACATTCGTTTGTAATTGGCAGAAACAAACATTGAAACAAGAGATACCATAGAAAAACCACCAAGTCCAGCTAACTTTACTACATACTTATTCCCTTTTATATTAGAATGTTCGCAAATTCAAACTATAATTAAATTGGAGCTACATTATGGAGTACATTATACTCCATATTATATGCTTTCATTAACTATTCTAAACAAAATGCTGACTGCCGAAATAAATGCAATCATACATTTCAATGATATGAACGTCCTTAGATATACCTACTCTTTTGTCTATGAATTAAAAAAGAGTGTGCTTTCTAACTGCACTTAAAATACGGAAACAAAATAAGATCTTTTTTATGTATTACTGTTGTTGAGAAGTATTGAAAGCCACAGCGTTCGACTTGAACCCACTAAAACCACAAGTTGAAGGTTAAGTTGTTAAAATCTCATCCCAATAATGAACGGAAAGGAAAGGAGACTAGATAAGCTTAGTATTTAGCAAGCTAAATTTATCAAAGCCAAAAAAACATGGTCGCAATAATTGAGAGCTAAGAGTATTTATAAATGAAGGGAATGCGGTTGGCACAATTTTGTAAAAAGTCTAAGGTAGGAGCAAACTCTATGCTCGGGGTGGTAGCGACATAGATATAACCCAGATTGTCAAGATAGAAAACAAGAAATCGAGGTGCTTGGGAACAAAATAAAAACTCAAGCTACTAGCTAACTGCAGTAAAAACATATAACATGAAACAATGCAAAAAAAGTGCTACTTAACAGCACTATAAACTTATTTAAATAATTATTTTCAATGTAAAAAGTTAATATTTAAAATATTGAGAAATAATTTGAATAACTTGGCAGTAAATTATTTCAAGTCCACTATAATGACTACAAAATTCTTAGTATTCATATTATAAAAAATTTACTATTTTCTAGTAATAATTGCTGACCGTACGTGATTTTATATTTCGTATGGCAAACGCATATAAACGTTATCAATAAGTACAATACGTAGTAAAAAGAGCAGTAATGCAATCACTGACTCAAACACATGCAAACACATGTGTGAGACTCCACATACACATTTGAATATGTGAATCAGTTACATTTTCTTGTCTACACTTAACCGCATACATTTTTCGCTCTCTTATCCCAAATTTTCATATGGCGTACTTAACCTAGTACAAGTAAACGGCACGGCATGTTGGCCTTCGCTGCCTTCGCTGCCGTCGTCAGTGCGTTTAAGTTTGCCTTACATATTTTTTGTTGTCGTTGTTGTTGCTTTCGCCTTCTATTTCTGTTTTTTTTTTCTCGTTCATTCATATTCCGATTTTATATATAACAAAGTCCTTGTAAATTTTCTTAAGGAAAAACAATATTTCATTAAAAACTTTTAGTCAAGTTTGTTATTCTTTAATTCTTTAGGTTTGTGCTGATTGCGAGTTTTGTTGTTTTGTTTTTGATTAGTTTTAGTTTAAAAGTTTTACGTTTTATACGTTCTATGTTACGTTATACGTGCGGTGGCTGCTCTGGTAATATGAGGGGGCGTGACAGAGTTTTGTAATTAATTTCTTCAACTTCATGTTTATTTATCTCATTTTGGCTTTTTGTTTAAGTAAATTAAATTTTAGAAAAGTTTTTGTCCACTCAAATATTTTAGATAAAATAGAAAATATCTCAATTTGTTTACATATATATATAGTATATATATAGATTTTTAAATAAAAACTGCGATAAAAGTTAAATTTAGCTTTGTAAAGACGCAGTACCCTACACACATTGTAGTTGAGGAATAATTAACAAAAGTTTTACAAAATGTAATGATACATTTTTACATAAGCTTAATTAATTCATACTAAACTTTATTGATACTATTTTCACCAGTAAGGATTAATAAAATTTTGGTTCATTACAATAACAGTTAAATTAATAGTTGAACGTATAAATTCAAGTTCTCCTATCTATCTAAAAGAAAATTTTTAATATATGTTTAGGCCGTGTGCGAGTTCGAGTAAATTGAAATACAGTAAATTGAAATTCTCTAGGGATTTTTTGCACTGCACTTATGTAAACATTTATTTATTTATTTATTTACTTATTTATTGCTTTTATTTTTTATTTTTAACAAAAGTTTTCAAATATATTTATTTATTCATTAAACATCTTATAAAATTTTCACAATGGTAACACCTAATTTACCTAATTTTTATCTAAGTTATCCTACTTGATATTCTTACTTACTATTTCCCTCAATTTACTATCAATTTACTCGAACTCGCACACGGCCTTAATATATTAAGGGCTGTGCTTAAACTCGACGCACAACCGCAGAATTAGAGTTAGACTATCAAAATGCGGTACTTTTTTGAATGTATTTTAAGTTCAATCAGCGTACCGGAATCCTTCCTAATTTTTTTGCATGTCACAAAAACTAATGGATTGCAAAATAAAATTTGGTGTATTATATACGTGTACTATGCTTCAAAAGTGTAGAAAGTTTCGTGATAATGAGCCTAGTGCAATACCCACCCTATATACAAATTTTCGGGAAAAAAATTTATTTTTAAATATTTTTTTGCTTCCATTAAACTATACATACATGTTTATTCAATATATAAAAATACAAGTTTAAACTCATAACTTTTATTTATTTTTTAAAATTTAAGATATTATTATTAGTTCTATGTAAAAAACTTTAACAGTAAAATTTTATAAGTAAAAGTGTTCATCAGTCATTTTTTATGGATTTTTTCACTTCTATCTACGATACCCAAAAAATGTATCCGAGTTCCATTAATTATTATTGCTAATGGTTAAATATTAAAGCTTTGCAAAAAACAAAAAAATGTCCGTCGCATTTTATGTTTTGTACCCATTTGAGAAGCCGGACATCATTGAAAAATTTCGCAAAATATTACCTTCGATATTTCTCCACATATTGAATACATTCTTGAATGACAACTACAGTAAGGTTTCTATTTCAAAACTTCTCTAAAGATGTAAAAGCTATTACAGGCTCAATCCACTGGCAAATGTATTTATTTTCCTACTTCTTAAAGGGTTGCACTTCTTCACAATTCTGCGTTGAACAGTGGTACTATTAGCTAGTACCTGCTATTTTGTTAGCATCTATTTCGCTAAAAGCTTATTAGAGTCAAGGGTATATATGTTAAAGGAGCAATCTATACCTATGAAAGCAGCAGAATACTTTCAGTGTTATTATTAGAGTTAGAGAGTTATTTGAAGTTATTTGAAGTATATTTCAAAAGCCGGTACTATTACCTAGTACCTGTTATTTTGTTAGCATCTATTTCGCTAAAACCTTATTAGTTTCAAGGGTATATATGTTACGAGACCTATCTATATCTTAGAAAGCAGCAGAATATATAAAGTTTTTTGTTCTGAAAGTTAAGGAAAGTTAACGATTAAATCCCGAGATGCCATCCATTTGAATCAAAATCACTGATAACAGTATTACAAAAAACATTACCCATCTGTCCCTATGGTCTCCTGAAGCAGACTGCTTCTCACATACTTGATGACTATGCAATTCTTTCTTACAAAAGCATGTTGGCTGACCTATGTGCATTGACTACTTATGCATTATCTATGTAAAATACAAAAGTTCTTTAAATATTTATATATTTTGATATTTATATACTCGTAACTATGTACCGAAACTTGTAACTCATTTATATACAAATTTTTATAAGACTTATAAATATAAATCACTCAAAAATATGTTATTGGTTTATGATATATAACATGTCTTTGTAATAATATATTAGAGACAAGTCTGTATGTTATCTTTACTGCTTAAAACACACCTGCAATGGTTGATACTGTAAGTTACCTTTTTATAACTAACTTATGTTCTTATAATATTAAATCAAAATTGCATATAACATATATTAGCTAGATAATACAAACTTATGTATAGTAATTAAGGAAGCCTAATATTAAATTTATAAAGTTTTTCAATAACTTTTTAGTTTTATATTATAATAAAAAAATCACAGAGTTATCATATTAAAAATTATGGTAAAAATTGTTTTGTCTTTATATTTATATATATATCTATATTTATATATATATATACATATATATATATATATCTATATATCTATATCTATATAATTTTATAATTCTATATTATAATAACAAAAAATCTACAAAGTTGCAATAGTAAAAATTATGTTCTGGTTATTTGATTAAGAATTTTATCTTTAAATATTAAAAATTCTTAAATAAAAATTGTTATTGTCATCTATATATTATTTTAAATTAGTTATTATAAATTATTATTAAACAAAAACATATTATAGGGTTTGACTGACATCAAATGAAAAGTCATATATTTCATATTCAAGTATACTCTTTAATTATATATAAGTACTAAAATATGAAATTTATATTTAAATTAATAATGGGATAACTAACTAACTATATCTTATCTTTTTAGGACTGGAGGTGGCAGCATGTTGGGTGATGTTAACATATCTGCTATTCTGGATTCGTTCAGTGTTAGCTACGACAAAAGAGTAAGACCCAACTATGGAGGTAAGTTACTCACGACCAATTTTATCTCTCGTTAACTTTAAAATTCGACATTAATAAATTCTTAAGTATATCATTAATAAAAAAAATCCCACAACTGTTCTTAAATTCTGTTATATGTAATTAACACCTGAAATAACCTCACATGAACAAATTATTCCATCAATGCGCTTAAAACGAGATGTTACGAATAAATTTTATATAAAGAAATATATATAATAATTGAAGGAATGTATTCAGTAGTAATTTTACTTAATATTTTAAGTTACTATTTTAACAGTTGGTTATACTTAATATATATTAAATAAATAAACAACAGTATTTGCAATTTTTAACCATATTAAGGGTATTACGCATAATTAATTCTTTTTCATATGATATATGTGATACTAACAGATAGACCAATAACTTTATAGTACAAAACTGAAAGCTTTTACTTTTTGAAGGTTTCTTGATATTGATACATATCCGTGTTTCAGGCCCCCCTGTTGAAGTTGGAGTCACCATGTATGTGCTATCGATCAGCTCGCTGTCTGAAGTGAAAATGGTACAAACTATGACCTTGTACCTTAAAGATATATATTTTTACTATACTTTTTTTTTGTTTTTAATGCTAATGTTTATATTTTGTTTTGGTACGAAAAGTATTGCTCAATTAATAAACTTTTGAGTTTTAAATAAAATTAAACTCTTTACTAAATTATTTCCTTTTGATTTGTTTTACGAGTTTGTTAGTTTGTGTTATAGTAATTTTGTGAAACACCCTGTTTAAAGAACGAATTTATGTTTATGTTTTTATTGAGAAAATATTTTTACTTCTTTATCACATTATTTATATATTTTTTATTTGCAATTTTACTATGAATCACAATTCGTTTTTAACTTTTCAATAGAATTCCTCTTATAAATTATTAAAAACTCTTAAATAATGTGTTGTTCTGTCTGTTATTGAATTATGTCGAATATAGAAACTTTCACTTTAAAATTTTGAATAGATTATGATCGCACAAAGAGTTTTATTGATAATAATCTCTAATTCATTACTTTACTCATACAATTAAATAAAATATATAAGAAAAAAATCTGAAGTCATTCGTCGTCTACATACGTAACATCTTGTAGATGTGCTAAATTACATATTAACTATATATCCATTGTTGTTAAAGTTTAATATTAAAAATATATATACATTCTTGATTGTTTTTAAAATTTTTGCCTGACTTCAACATCCCTGTGCTTAAAACAAGCAGTTTTCTTCTAACTTCACGACTCTCCGAAATTAATAAATTTACTTTCAATTATATATATTCAATAAAAATAGTTTTTAGATTATAATTAATACTTTAAATATATATATCTTTAGCATATGTCGAAAGTTTATAGGGTTACCAAATGCTTTTATTTTTTGATTGTTAGAAATAGTTTTTTCACGGCTATAAAGACACAAAATTGAGCTTTTTTAATTGGCAAATATATTTTATTTTATGTAGGTTCTTAGAGTTTTTGTCTTTTGTTGTCTATACTAACTAATCCACTTACACTAGACTCTGTCCACCACACTTTCAATGTGTACACGTTACTAATACGATACGTTACGATTTTAAATGCATCAATTAGCAAGATTATAGTATTTTCACAGCACAAACAGGCAAATTAAAATACAAATAATAGCTTAAAAACTATCGATACGAATGTCTCATAAATATAAAAAGTATTTGTAAAACTTTCCAACACTAACAGTTGAGAAAACACAAAACCCCAATACTAAAACTAAAAATTGCAATAAATCATTGGCGTTCTTCTCACTACTCAAGCAGAAATTCCACAACTTACAGAAACAACATATAATTTATTAAACTTTTATTTTATTAATCTTTTAAACTTCTTGAAGCTTTTAACTAATTTTTCTTTAAACAAATTTCATGTCATTTTTTATGCTCTATTCTAGGGTCGTCCTGCTTCAGTCATTAAATATTTTTATCGCTTATGCGCTAACTCAACTGAGCTCAATATTTGGCTTATGAGCATTGGCTTGCTTAAATGTGCGAACCAGATACTTTTATTTTGTACCGAAAAAAACAAACAAAAAAAAATCAAAAATCAAAAATCGAAATACAAAATACAAAATACAAAACGAACAGAAAAGATACATAAATTTCTGAAACTCATATATCAAGTGAAATTTTAACAAATGGTGTGTTAAATCTGCTAAAGATTTATTTCAGAGATATTCATTCTTATTTCCGTTTCCGTTTTGTTTTCTTTTTTGCATTTTATTAAAATTTAATACAAAAGTGTAGATTGATTTGGTTTTCATTCGTCGCGGTTATGCAATTTCTGATTTCTTAACTTCAAATGCCACCGCTCGCCTTTCATTCAAGTAGAATAGTTTAATATATACAATATATATATATATATACATTTTTTTTATATTAACACTTTTTTATTTCTTTGAAGAAAATATAAATGGAATGAAATATGTATTATGTAAAAATAAATATAAACGAAATTATATACGGAAATTCTGCACACGCTCACAGTGCAATTTTTAACAGAGATTTTTTAATAAAATTTTTGGTATAGCATTATATATTTAAAAAAAATAATAATAGTTCAGTTATTTCTTAAATATACAAAAATATAAAGCAACAGAGCATATAAAGTATATTTTTTATAACAACAATGTTTATATCTAAAATAATAGTATTCATATAATATATATGGTATATAAAAAAGAATCGATGTTCACTTAATATTAATCACTCCAGGAGAATTTAATTACAATATGTCATAATCAAAGTTAAAATTGAAAGTGGTAAATATGTTGTAAGGAAATACGACATTCAGGAAATTCATTGTCGTGAAAAAAAGCAATCATATTAAACATAATAGTCTTCATATAATTGCTTTACATAAATCTATGGTCGTACACATAATACATTCGAAGAGAATATTTACAAGCGTTTTATATATATAACATTTTATTTTACAAGAGAGACAAATACTAATTCTCGACAAAATCAGAATTTTGATATCCCGCCTCCTCAGCACAGATGGTTTATTGGAGGCAACCTTAGAAGAGTTAATAAGCCTTTCAATCAGTCTTTGGTATATACAGTTCATTCAGTGGATTTGGAATAAGGATGATTCCCTCCATTTGTGATTTGTCAATTGACATGGAACTGTCCATCTGGCAAGACAATCAGCCTTTTCTTTGTGCCCATATAATTCATATCCCAAAACGCACTATAAAATAACGCGATTACTTTTTTCTACTTTGATAACCGTTAAGTAAATGACAATCACAGCTGAATGAATTTTGACAGAATTCACGACCAGTCTTGATATTAGATAATCCCTTCTTTTGTCGTTATTCTCAGATATTCTAAATCGAGGTTTCGATGACAAATAATTTAGACAATATGCAAACTATCGCTCTTATTGTATATCTCTTCACATACTCTCAGACATAATTTTCGATTTTTAATAATTTCGCTTGCAGTTGGATGTATAGCAATGTGCAGGCTTTTTGAAAAGAAGGTCCTAGTATCCTTAATATTAAACCAAACTTGCGAACCCTTACTTATTTGATATCCGAAAAAATAATTTTCTACAACATTAAATTAAGAACATTTAAAATTTACAATTAATTATTATTATTGTTATTGACTTGATCATAAAAATATTATTAAGTATAAATATATTGTCTTGACTATGTTTATTTAAATAAAAAACTGTATTAAATCATAAACTATATACGTCAGAATGATTAAAAAATACTGAAAGATGTCACACTTCAACTATGATTTGAAATTCTTGGAAACTAAAACCTTAATTAACTAATTTTATACGAATAATTTAATAACCTAATAATAATCTTGGTAACTACGTTATTAGAAAAAAGCACGAAATATATGTAGGAAGAAATTTCAAACACCTGTTTCTTTTATTAAATAAAAACATTTGAAGAAACAATTCTTATTATCAATGGATCGATTATACCTAAGAGACCATTGAACACTGCAAGCACTGACAGGTATATTGAGTCTAAAGGAAATTTTTTTGGCTTACTATTTTCCAAGGAAAGCGAAGCCTATTCTGAAGCTGCAACAGTATGCAGTCCGTTACTGCTTTCTCGTTACCGATTTTCAAGCTCAGCTTAATTCGGAACCTGATTCTGAAGCTAATAGTAACTATAAATAAGGTGTTCTAGTTGCTCATTTGCCCATGTGAATACTCTACGTGTATTTTAAACAGTAAATACCTATGAAGATATAATGTAAAGTTAAATATTTATTTGACACAAATAAATTTAATTAATAAAAATAATTTAAAAATAATAATTTGTATTGTGCTCTGGAATCTTTTATATTTTTGCATTATATTTATTAATAGAAAAAGGCCAAAAATTTTATTAAAAATCATTTATTAGGGAAAAATTTTAATTTTTAATTAAGTATAGCTTAAGTTAGCATAAAGAGTCAAAATAAAACTTAATAAAATAAAAATAATTAAAATGTTAAGTAATAATTGTTTGTACGTATGTTAAATGTTTATAAAATTAGAACAAAAACAAACGTGTGTGTGTATGTTACAGGTCCCCCAGTGGAGGTTGGCGTCACAATGTATGTGCTCAGTATCAGTTCGGTTTCGGAAGTTCTCATGGTACATACGTAATAATTTCCTTTCCAATTTTAATTTCTATCATTTTTGTTTTAATTATATATATAATTTTCATTATTTATGTTTATCAATGGATTTACGCAATATGTAAAACAAGCATACATAAATATTGTTTTTAACTTCAAAAACACTTTCAATTGGTTATATTTAAAATATGTTAGTTTTTGCAATGAAAATATTTTTTTGAAATAAAAATATATAAAATATTTTTCAAAATACTCTAACAGAAAATAAAATGAGATAATATTTTATATATGTATATGAAGATACACATATTATTGATGTGAAATTATTTTTGTAAAATTGCAACTCATTTAAATTTTAGTATTGAATTATTTTTTTTTTTTATAAAATTTTGTTAAATATATATATATAATTTTTGTGGTTCTATGTTGTTTCTAAATTATTCAATTAAATTTAATTTATTATATCACAATTTGAAATGTAAATGCTAGCGCTTTAAGCAATTCATTTTTAAATTGAAATTTCGATATGAAAAAGATTTTATATATAAGATTGTTGCAAAAAAAAAAATATGCAAAAAAGAAAAAATTATAATGATTTTTGATTTTAAAAATATTATTTTTTTTTATATATTGAAAAAGCGTAATAGTTGTTGTTGTTGTTTCAACATATCATCTAACTATCTTTCTATAAATCTCTCTCTCTCTCTCTATCTGTACTCACTATACTATAACTTTTTCATTTCAAAATATTTTTAATCATTTTTATGTTATAAGTATGCAAAAACATTCATATTATTTTGTGTTAAAATTTCAAAAAAAAAAAAAATATTATTCAGAAATAGTTTAAGCATTTTTCGATTATGCCTACTCTACTATGCATTTCTGTAAATCAAAGCAT